TTGCAGAACGGATCTTTTGTTCCATCCAACAACGGTATTGACCTGAATACAACAGTATACAGCATCACGGCCAAAAGCGATACGTATAAAAACGAGGTGGTGAAAAACTATGTATACATAGGCACCAGTACAGGGCTATACCGCAGTGAAGATGGTGGTCAGAACTGGATCAAAATGTACAACAATACCGATATCCGCAGGGTCTTCTAAAATCAATACTTATTCTTCGGTTCCGTCATCCGGTCCGAGTACATCATTCAGGTCGCGCCGCTGTTTCTTAGTGGGGCGGCCTGTTTTGCTATGGCGCTTGCCTGTAAAAAAGGACGAGGTAATATACTGGCTGAGCTGGCGGTCTTCTTCCGAGGTAAGGTCGGTATAATGCTTTATCGCTTCTTCATAGCTGCCGCGATTCTGTAACAGGCCGGTTACTTCAATGGTCCAGCGGCGGGTAGGTGCTTTAATATCATAGCGGTCGCCCAGGGCAACGGAACGCGCGGGCTTTATGTTCTGCCCGTTCAGCTTTACTTTGCCTTCGTCGCAGGCAGCAGTAGCCAGGCTACGTGTTTTAAAGATGCGTATGGCCCACAGGTATTTGTCGATTCTTATCTTTTCCATCGTTTAAAAATTCCTCTGGAACCGAAGTTACAGAAGGTTGCGAAATTCATAAGGTAGAAATCGGATCAATAAGCCGTAGTACGTTACAAAAAAAGTAAGGCCTCCGTTAAATGTGGAGGCCTTACTTTTTGAATAAAAAAGATTCTTATTTAGTAACGTTGAAGTATCCTTCCGTAATGGTCTTGGCATTGCTGCCACCGGTCATGGATTTTACCGTAGCATAAAAAAGTCCTTTAACATGCGTAGCGTCATTTTCCAATACTTTTATAGCACCACTGCCCCCCATAACGGAAGTATACGAATCGGCTCCTTGCATGTAAACGACGAATGATGCCGTGTTAAGGCTTACAGTAGTTCCTGCCGCTGTATTCTCAGGAAATGTAAGGCTTATACTGCTACTTGTACCGGTGCCGGCATCGACACCCTGAATGGCTATGGTGCCATTGAGTGCGACGACATTGTCCAGCAATGCATGGAATGACTGTCCCTCCACTTTAGCACTGATCGGGTCTGTTCCGCTCCAGTCGAAAGAGCCACCGCCACCACTACCGCCACCGGTATTCGGTACCCCGATGCCGCCGTTATTCGTATAGGGTTTGC